AGAAGAGCATGGAGCTGCAGCAAACCCAAACTCCACATTGTAAGAGCTCTACACTGTGTGTAAGGGGAAGAGTGCATCTAGGATCAGGTATGCCCTCAGGTGTGTACTCTCTCTTTCTATAGCTGTAGCTATGTGGTTTGTTAAAAGTACCAAGAAGACCCGCTGGCTTGCATCTAGGAAACAGCAGAGTGATTGACCAAAAATACTTAGGTATTTTTCACACCTTCAGCGAATGGGCATGGGAGAGTGAGAAAATGTACTTTGCCAGATCCCTGTGAGATTACTCTTCCAAACTGCCAGCAGTTACCTCCAGCAGCAGGGGAGTCCTCTTTCTGTTGGGGTGTCCTCTTTCTCCTACTGATATTCATGGCAGAGTCCCTCTTCGTTCTGGTGTGAAAAGCCTTCAGGGGTGGGTGTAAATATCTGGACACTGCCTCTGGGGCACTGTGAAACAACCCAGCCAAGGTGCACCCACTGATGGGGGCCCATAGAGCACTGTTGTGGAAGGTGGCTGGAAGGAAAAAAAAAATATGCTAATGTGGCAAATAATTGTACTCCTTCCACTTCTGTGTTTGTTGGTTTATTACCAGATGAGATCTGTGTTAAAATCCCTTTGTCAAGGAGGTGTGCTTTTCCTGTACAGGAAGGCTCCCTGGAGAGAAAGTTCATTAGCATCCCAAGGGCTCAGCCCAAGGTGTCTTTGCCCATCTGCTCATGGAAGGAGTGAATCTCCTTTGAGAAGGCAATGGAGATGGTAACTGTACACTGTTCAAAATGAAGCAAGAATCCACTAAGTGACCAAATGTGCTGACAGTAAACATTTGAATGGTGGATCTTAATAGAGTTAACTTAACATATTGTAAATCTGTGAATACAGTTGTAATTGGGTCAAGAGTTTGGCAAGAGAAACAAGAAGTGTCTAAACATGCCTACAGTGACACCAGATCAAAAACACTCAGAGCAAAAACTGTAAAGAAAAAAGGGGCTTCCCTAAGCAGAAGGGTTAATGACACCCTGCTGGGATTGCATCGATGTGGCAGCCCCTTAGCTGGGTTTTGAGGACTCCACTGGCTGAAGGCAGAGCTGAGCCAGTGCAAATTGCCGTAATTCCCCTGCAGTTAATAAGGCTCCGGCAATTACCACTGCTCTCAGCCTGCCCTGAAAAATGACTGTAGCTCCAATACCACTGCAACTGTGCTAAGCTGCCTGTGGTGATTGTACCCTCTTCTCCGCCCTGGGTGCCTGTAGCTGCAGCTTTCCTTGTGCCAGCAGTGACACCCAGCAGCTCCTGTGGTGACCTGCTGGCAGAGGTGGAGGATGAGCTGGGACCTGGCTCTGGTAGCAGGGAAGGTTGAGCCTGTGGGGCTGGGAGCAGTGGGACCAGGATGATGATTATATGTTGGTCTGAAAATAGATTTGCGCTCCAGGACCCTACTACCGCCTCTTATAGGCTGCAGCTAATTGAGGATAGTGTTGTGATTGCACATGTGGCAATGAGGGTATTTAAACTGCTGTAAGCAGCTCTCCCCTCACCGCTCCTGTTTCCGACATACGGGTGCTTATCCTTATCCTTTTCTGTCCCACAATGTTACGGTGTTAGAGCAGAGCCGTGAGAAGCCAAACAGGGGAATGGATCATGCGGGCAAAGCCACTTTCCCATCACTGAGCTTGTTAGGTCAGGTGGGATGCAGCAGCATGTGAGCACCCAGCTTGGGCAGTTTGTGGCCATGCCAAACACAATCCTTGCTGCTGTGATGGCTCTTCCCAGACCAGAGGGATGAGAGAGCTAATGTAATGCTATTCTTTTTCTCAGGTAGAACTGAAATGCTCAGTGCAAAACTGACCACAGACCAAACGGAACCATTTCTGGTTTAAGCTGGTCTAACACCAGAAAAATCTGATTCTAACCTGGAAAGAAACCGTGTTCTCCACCCTGGGCTTGTGGCTGCAGAGATCTCATAAATACAGAGTTCACCTTAGGAAGCTCCAGTTACAGGTGAATTTTCAGCTTCTTCCGTTTTCCTGAAGCTGCTACGCTCCATCCCAGGGAAGAGTCCTACTGCCTTTCTAGAGATGTTGGTAACACTTCAGACAAAGTATAAAACCACCATGGTCATGAGACTTCATTCACCTTTGGAAAGTCCCCATCTCTCTCCTTGCTGGTTCATAATGGGACCAAAATTCTGGATTTTATGGCCCCAGCTCAGTTTAGCAGTTGGATTGAGGCTGCCCCCCCATCTCCCCGCACAAAGAGAAGGGCAGTGGAGCAAAGCCCTGAGCTAGATCTGTTCACGTCAATCTGATCTTTAAAGTCTTTCTTTTCAGGAAGCATATAAACTAGGCTTGCCAGGGCTGAGGTGCCATGTAAGGTAAATCAGTTTTTTTACAGACAGCAACCTGGACAGCATGCTGTTATTCCAGCTGTTGGTAGCACTTCAAAGAGAGCTCTTACTACTGACTTGGGTTTTAAGGCATTGAAGATCTGACTGCTGAAGTATTAAGAGTTACGGTTTCTTTGAAAGATGTGTGCGGCTTGCTTGTAGACACCAAAATCTAAGAGAAAGCATAGAAAAGGGCTTATATGGCTCTGAAAAGAACCACAAAAACTGGGGGAGTTTGCATAGTTTCTCACATATGCCAAAAATACAGATAGAGTCAAGCAAAAAAGTCTTTGTTGGTGACAGAGGAAAAATTGCTGTCCTGCAGCAAAGTAGACACAGCTTTGTTTATGTTGGCTGGCAATATCTTGTACTCATCCTGGAGTGCCATTCTGGCTTTCTCAAGATAATGCTTCTGTGAGATGGTTAGCCAAGTAGATCATTGTGTTTATTGGCTCCATATTTACTAACATGGTGTATTTGACAAAGTTATAGCTGGCTGGCAGTGCCTTTAAACTGTGGTTCAGTGGGTTTATCAGCTTGCAGTGAAGTATGAATTTAGATATGTTATCACAAGACTGCACTATCTCTAATCCAATTAATTACTGGAAAATGTGTTAAAATAATGACTTCTGACAAATTAAGGAGGGAAAGTTTACACTCATCTAATTATAGGACTGCTTAATTCTAGTAAGGAACTTATTTGTTTTGCTCAACAGAAACATGGAAATGGAAATACTGGTGTTCGCAGCTGCCCATACGCAGGCACAAGGAGTGCTCCAGCAGGAAGCACTTGTCTTTGTTAAGACATTTAAGACAAACATTGCATTTGATCTCACAAGTCAAAACCTCCTGCTGGCACAGTGTAGTACAGGGAGACAGTAAAGCAGTTCCCCCACCATAGCAGAACACAACAGTAAGCACAGATGAGACAGCTAATGGAAACCAGCCCACAACTAGGACTACAACTTGCTCTCTCTTTCAGATTTTTTTGGCCCCTGGTCCACTAGGACCAACTCCTCCTTCAAAAAGGGCTGGTGAATTGGGCAAGGAGGTGTCCCTCCTGGGATGGGTGGGGTAGTGTCCAGCGCTGGGCAGTACAGCTGGCACAGCCACCCGCTCGCGCCTGTGGGAAGCAGCTCCCTGCTGCATGGAGCAAAGGGCTGCAGGGAAATAACACCACATCTAACCAGGGACAATTTTAGCCTTTTCACCAGCTGACCAAAGCACATGGCATAGAAATGTTACCAGGTAATGCATTCCCTGTTGGTGTGTTTGTCTTCTAGATGGGCTGAGGTCAACTGGGAAATCTCAAATTCAGGTCACACTGATCAACCAGAGTTTAGCAGGAGAGAGTACAGTACCAGCATGAGCTGCAAATGGAAGTTGTGAGTTTGCCACAAGAAAGAATGAACATTTAATCTCAAAAATGATATTAAAAAAATTGCTTGTAAGTTACGCTTTTTTTCTCATAGTTTACACTTTTGTGCTTGGATGAAGTAAAACACTGAGGAGGAAAATTAAAAAATATTGGGTCAAGTGGATCCTGTTGCTGTATTTACTCCTGTTTGGACTCCAGAGCGGTGTATGTGCAGTTCTGCTCTGCAAGGTGATTGTGAAACTGCCTGGATGCCTTTTGGGTAACTGATTTTCATGTAAAGCAAATCTTTCCTAATTACCTTTCCTGAAAACTTGTGCTAAGATTCAGACCAAGCTGAATTCTTCTGCTTGTGTGTTTTTGACAAGTAAGGAAGGTGATATAGGTCAAACTACAGCTTACGTTGTGTTTAGATAGCTCTGATTTTCTCCTCGAAGGCTTTCAGAGGAGCCACTGACTGAGGCTGTAGCCAGCCCTGGTGATGATGCAGCAGAAGGGACCAAGTTTGACTGCCGGCTTCTGGCTCTGTGAGCTTTGCAGTGCTGGCAGGAACAAAAAGCAGTAAAAACTTGCCTGTCACTGAAGTCAGCAGCTCTCACAATGAATGCAAACAGGGGGCAAATCTGCTGAGTAAGAAGATGCCTTCCTACATGGTAGCTTTAGAAACTAGAACTCTGAACAGACAAAAAAGAGCTTAGAAATCACTGGCTGCAAGCAGGGAGTAAAATCATGGGTGAAGCTGAAAGCTTAAATGATAGTAGCAGCATTTGATTTGATATCTCCTGTACAAATCGTCCATAGGGTGGTGATAGCATGATTCTCAAGCCATATGTTTGCAGTTTAGGTTGCATTTCAGCAAGCTACATTTTGGACTCGAGGCAGATGTAAATTTATGGCTGCTTTCTGCTGGGGACAAGTCAGGGGCAGCTCATCCTCGGCAGCAGAGCACTGCCCTGCACGGCCATCTGGAAGTGGTTTTATTGGTGCTGCATGAAGGGGTCATTGACAAAAGGGCATTCCATTTCTGATCAATTCCCGTCCTTGCCGTCAAAAATTAGACTAAATATGTGGGAAAGCCAGTTTCACCTGGGCGTAGGGTGCTCTGCCAAACATGGACATTGCTGCACCTGCACTGGGCACTGCAGGGCCCACCCATTGGATGCCCTAGGGAGGCACCTCCAGTTTTGGCACAGACCTTTGGTAAAGCTGGGGCTGGCTAAGCGCACGTTCCGCAGATGCTCGCCATGCCGACGAGGAGAGCGCTACAGTCTGTGGCGGGCAGAGGCACGCTGCGCCCTGGGGGAAGGCTGGGCCGGTTCCTACCCCGGCCGGAGGGGCTCAGCCCCCGCCCGCGAAATAGCGGCGCTGGCAG